TTTCTCCACAATGCTTGAACATGCATTAAAGCAAATTTCCATCTCATTTGCCCACCATTCAGCCCTCTCATAGCATGAGATTGACAGCTTTAGCCCCCAGTTATCAAGGGTAAAATAGATTTTCCACTGGAAAATAATGAAATATATTTTTAATACATTCTTACAAATTGTGATAATGGCTCAGGAAAGAAATCTTTAACAAAGAGCAAAATAACCAAAGACTAATTTAATTCATATAATTGGCATATACAGAGGGTAATATGCAGTTTCACTCTAACTTTAGATTAAGCTGAACTGAGCTGGAACCTGCCTTGTTTTCTTGCATATACACATGTTTTCTGTATAATATTAGTCAAATGAACAGCCAGTTTCTTTCCTTGATATAAATACATACACCAAAGAGAAAACTGGATGAGAAATAACATGTTTCCCAGAGATTACTTACCCCCCTACTTTATGGGGTTTTCTTCCAGAGGCTTTAAGCAGTTCCACAGCATTTTGACTTAAGAGCTCAGAAAAAGCTTATATAAATTCCTGCCTTATAACCCAGTCACAACTCAAAGAACTGATGATAAATGTATTTTTAGCTCATGCCTTTTCAGTAGTGCTGTAAGGCAGTTCTGCAATAAATGCATGAGATTAAAACATCTGAAATCTCACAGAATAACAATGCAGACAAACCTTACAGAAATGTTTCGCCTGCTGAGATATCCCTAAAAAAGCACAAAAGGGATGAAGTAGCCCAAAATCCTGATGCTTACTATAATACAACAATAATAATATGGTTTACAATACATGTAAACCATAGATTCACTGTTTCATTGAGCTAATCAACCATCATTATTTTCTGACAATTTTTAGGTAAAAAAGTATTTTTTCAAGCATTATAGTGTGGTTTGTTGGTGGCTTTTTATCGTCCTATGTAGTTAAAATTAGCTATTCAACATGAAAATATTTCTCTCAAAGAAGAAATATTACAAACTCATCTCAACTTGATGTGGTCATGCTGTTACCAGCTATGATTTCAGACCCAGTTAAATTTTATTCTCTGTTCCCTTCAGAAAGCTCAAATAACTCTGGCACAAGTAGATGGAGTTTACCTGTCCATGTATTGTAAAATGTGGATTTGTGCAAGTCTGAAATACAGCTGAAAGCTAAATGAAAACATCAGGAAAATTTCAAATATGTTATGTGTCACAGAGGTGATATATCATAATTGCCCTACCAGTGACATCTGACAAGGACCAAATTATTTCATTATCATTGAACTTAATGGACTTTAAAAGACTGTGGATCAACCTCATGAACTATGATGGCTGAAACCAGACAGATAATTTACATCTTTACTGATAAGTTTATTATTGTACGTCCTGACACGTAGTTTACTGCTTTTCAAGATGTGTTTACTTCTCTATAACAGTTTTCAAGCTGGAAGTCTAGTCCCACCTAATAAACACCAATCGATACGACAGAAAGCCATTATGACAGAATGACAAAGAATCTCTGCAACTATATCATTTCCATAAACTAAGGAACTATTTTTCTTTCACTTTGTTACATTGGATAATAACATAATTCTGTAACATTGAGTATCTCTGATCCAAGATTTGAATTTGCACAAGTACAAGAAAAAACTGTATTTTGGTATAACTATCTTCTACTTAGAACCTTACACAGCAAATGTATGGCCCTGCTCCTATTTGTTCACTATTCCACCCACTTATCCTCCCTCCTGCTCCTAATAGATTTTTTCTAATTATATGAAAGTGACGTGTACTTCGTTTTCCCACGGATAGAGAATCCGAGTTCATGGAAAATCCCCCAGAGCCTTTTCTCCTTCAATTATAAGGATCAGTCAATATGGTTTCTTTAGGGAAAAAAAATAATTACGTGCATTTTTGCTTCTATTAAAATAAATCTATTTATAGCAGTCTCCGGAGAATTGAGAGTTGATAACTGTATTGTTAGGGACAAATTATTTTATGAGTCCATCCCATAACATGGGAATTCTTTAAACATCGTTTCCACCAGGATGCTGAGCAACTGAAACAGAATATTCAGGAATTCAGGAAAGAGATGTGAAAGGGCACAGACAGCAGATCTTGCTTCCATTGCCAAAGCCTGGACAACTTGAATTCTGTCATCTGTTCATAGAGAAATATGAGACCCAAAAGCTGAAACTACAGACAAGTTCTCTACAGCAATAAGCTTCCCATGCAAAAAGAGAAAAAAAGGATTTGGAAAAAAATCTTTATGTTTAGTTGAAATATGCATAAAACTTACTGACTCATTACAGTAAATACAGGAATTAAAACAAGAACAATGTTAATGATAGAACTACACTCTTGCATGGGGATGATAGTATATGTAACACATGGATTCTGATTTTGAATCTTTGTTTCAAAATTTCCAAAAATTTAAGTATGACCTTTTAGAAAAAACTTTCAAAACCCATCAGTTTGAGCATTAGTTAACCATTAGGTAGCACACATATCCCAGAGCACAACGGGCAGCCGTAGTGTATTTTACCCCTTCAGTTAGCTAGTATCCCAGCACAACTCCTGCCACCACTCCCAAACAACACTCACAGTACTTAAATGGACAGCACGGTTTATGCTAAACCAGTATAATAGATTGTATTAGCACTTCTACATTAAGCTAGCATTTTCTCTTCAGAAAACTGAAATGCAATTTAAGAATTCTTTTAAGCAAGTAGTAAGATCTTAAAGCAGAAAAATCATCTTTGCAAGTTACAAAAGTAGCATGCCTTGTACTGAACAGGTGAATGCCTGGCTGTATAGCTGGTGTCATACTCAAGGTTTTGGCTTCTATGATCATGGATCTACCTGTGAAAAGCCAGGTTTGCTGGAAGCTGATGGGATTCACCTGACCAATGAGGCAAGAGCCTTTTTGCTATGGCATTAAGAACCAACAGGGAAACACTTGTGAAATGCTGCAGAAGAATCAGGGCTTGTCCTCTTAAAAGGTGACAGTCAACAGCCCAGCTAAGTGCCCCTACACCAATGCACACACCATGGATAACAAACAGGAGCTGGAAGCCATTGTGCAGTCAGAAAGCTGTGATCTAATAGATACTGCTGAATCACATCACTGGAACACTGCAATCGCTGGTTATGAACTGTTCAGAAGGGACTGGGAAGGAAGAAGGGGAGGAGGTTGCCCTCAAAGCCAAAAAGAAAAAAAAAAAAAGTGGATTAACTGCACAGAGCTGTGTTTGAAAAACAGCAATGAGCAGGTTGGGAGATCAACCAGTGGTGAAAAATCAGAGGTCAGGCCAACAAAGAAAACCTCATGGTTCATGTTCACTACAGGCTGCCCCATCAAAAGTATGCTGCTGAATCATTCCTACTTCAGCTACAAGTAGCATCATGCTTGCAGGCTCTGATCCTGCTGGGGGACTCCAGTCACCCTGAAATTACGCATTTTTACTTTTATTTGCTATGTAAAACTCTACGTCTATTTACTTCTTAGCTTTTAAATATTTTTTCACCCTGCATCATGTGTTAGTTTAAAAAACTTGAAAAAGATCTGAGTTGCTATAAACACTATCTTTCCTGAGCTCTTTATTACTATCCATTATTTCAAGCTCCGCTGTAGATGACACCTTTTTCAGATCATGGCTTCTCAAAAAAAGTTTGTCACAATCTTTTTGCATTAAAGAACAAAAACATAAAACCCAAAATAATGCAGACTGTACATCAACACCATTATCCACAATGTATTTTTAGGCTTTGGGGCCACCATCACCCCATAGCAGCACTTACTTAGCACTTTCCTGATTTGCATGTTGTAGAGAGTCTTGGGAGCTGAGGAGGTTGAGATTGTGTAAGTCTCTTCAAGTGTTATGAAATATAACCCTTTTGCCCTTGCATGAGGATTTCAACACAGATCTTCAAAATAATGAAGTCTGAAACTATGAAATATAGAATGGAGCAAAAGCAACTTTTCCATCTTCTGATCTGTAGCAGTTCTTTCACATTTGCTCTATGGTATTTCTTTCTCACCCCACTTCCAAAGGACTAGTTTTTTCCTAACACCTGCTCTCTTCCAAACAGCCCTCTTTTAACACTCCTTCTCCCATCAGTTCTGCAGAAAAACATTTCGGTTCCATAAAGAGTATCTATTTTCCTAATGTATACAAGAATCTCAGAAAAAGAATGAAAAAGTAGTATTTAGTTTGTTGATCCAAAACTTGAACAATAATGAAAAAATAGCACAAAAAGACTGCATAGTTGCTTTCTTTGAAGTCACAAGCAGAATGTGAGACTGATATAGCCTCAAATGCAGTCATGCCACAAAAATGTTAAAATAAAACTTTAGTACATAGCAGTATTCCAATGACTCAGAGTTACTCAAATGAGTGTCGTGGTTTAAGCCCAGCCGGCAACTTGGAACCACGCAGCCGCTCGCTCACTCCCCCCCCTTTTTCTTCCTCCCCCCGCTCCCGGAGGGATGGGGAGGCGAATCGAAGTAATGTAACTCCCACGGGTTGAGATAACAGCTCTCCAGTAACTAAGGTATAACACAAACCACTACTGCTACCAATAATAATGATAAGAGGAATAACAAGGGAAAAGGACACAACCGCTCACCACCCGCCGACCGATACCCAGCCCGACCCGAGCAGCGATCTGGGCCTTCCGGGTAACTCCCCCCAGTTTATATACTGGGCATGACGTGCTGTGGTATGGAATACCCCTTTGGCCAGTTTGGGTCAGGTGTCCTGTCTTTGCTTCCTCCTGGCTTCCCCTCCTCTCTGGCAAAGCATGAGACTGAGAAAGTCCTTGGTCGGAGTAAACATTACTGAGCAACAACTAAAAACATCGGTGTTATCAGCATTGTTCCCAGACTGAAAATCAAAAACACAGCACTGCACCAGCTACTAAGAAGGAGAAAAAATGACTGCTGTAGCTGAACCTAGGACAATGAGTTTGCTTCATATATAATACACCAACTTTTCTTCTGAAGTCACACCTTACCTTTGCTTCCATACTGTTCTGGTGGGAGGTCAAAAGGTACAGGAAAGTATGTTGCTGGATTATCACTTTCTGAAAGCATTTTTCCTTTCACATGAAAGTAACCTTTGTCCAATCCCTATAAAGGAAGGGATACATACAGAAGAAAGACTTAGTAGCTTCAGAGGGAAAAGACAAACCTAATCCACAATTGATTATTTCTCAGTAAATTATTTTAATAAACAAAATATTTTTCATTTATTATTGAGATTAGACTTCCCTGTCTTAACAGCTCAGCTTCTCTCATTATTACTATTTCAGGCTCTTCTAACATTCACTGGCTTGGCCCCACAGGTGGGTCCACAATAGATATACTCTACCTTCTCAGTCCCTTACACGTATACTAATCTGTTTCCACATTCACTAGGTAAACACACCATGGCCTTGCTTGTGTAAGCACTTCTATCTACATTGTCTAAGGTCTTTGCAATAGGCTGCCATATCAGCAGCATACCTCAATACAAGACGTTGCTGCTTTTGCATAAATGCTTACAGACACTGAAATAAAATTTTAATTATTAAACAAAACACCTCTAGCATTTAATATTTAACTAAAGGGAAACGCTTTTAAAATTTTCTCTTTGCCGTTCAGTTTCATCCAGACTCCATTAGAAGTTCAGTGTGCTTCATGAACTGAATTTAAATTCAACTTCTGATACAGAAACAAGTTTTCCAACATGTGCTTTTCAGATGTTTTTGATAACACTAGCCATATACACTATGACTTTAATGAAGATTTGTAACTGCTTGCATAGAAGTTTCAAAGACAACACTCACATTAGAATAACAGTGGATTTCAAACAAGATTAAGGACTACAAAAAAACTATAATACAAGAGCAGATCGATTTAAAGTGATTCAAGTAACTTTGGTAGATGATATTGCTTAGTCATTTCTCCAGAGAAATTGGATCCCATTCATAGATTATAATGAGTTATACAAAAGCAAATCTCTAATACTGAGATTTCCAATAGCCTATTGTCAATCAAGTATAATTTGATTAGAATAGATTAAAAGTTTAAAGGATATCAATCTTTTATTAGTTATTTCTAAGACACTACTGAACAACTGGATTTTTCTTCCTAAAAAAATCCTGGAATAGTTTGGGTGGGAAGTGACCTTTAAGGGTCATCTAGTCCAACCCTCAGCAATGAGCAGGTACATCTTCAACTAGACCAGGTTGCTCAGAGCCCTCACCAACCTGACCTTGAATGTTCCAAGTGTACTCAATGGGTAACATGTTCCAGTATTTCACCACCCCCATAGTAGAGAATTTCTTCCTTAATCTAGTCTGAATCTAGCCTCTTTTAGTTTAAAACCATTCCCCCTTGTCCTATGACTACATGCCCTTGTAAAGGTCCCTCTCCAGCTTTCTTGGAGGCCCTCTTTAAGTACTGAAAGGCTGCTATAAAGCCTTCTCTTCTCCAGGCTGAACCCAGCTCTCTCAGCCTCTCATAAGAGAGGTGCTCCAGCCCCCTGATCACCTTCATGGCCTTCCTCCAGAGCTGCTCCAACCTGTCCATGTTGTTCTTGTGTTGGGGGCCCCAGAGCTGAATGCAGTGCTTCAAGTAAGGTCTTATGAGAGCAGAGTAGAGGGGCACGATCACCTCCTTTGACCTGCTGGTCACACTCCTTTTGATGCAGCCCAGCAGCACAGTTGGCTTTCTAGGCTGCAAGCTCACACTGCTGGCTCATGTCCAAACATTAATGTATACATTATCCAAGCTGTAGAAGCCATCAGTTCAAGTTTTACTGGATTACTGTTTTGTGATAGTACAAGCACAATTCTTAATTACCACTAAACAATCCCATATAATTCAAATATACATACTGGCTGAATTTTTAGTCCCATCTATATGCAATACTTTTACAATACTGTAAGTTCTTCCTGGCTGAAGTTTTACTTCATCAAATGCTAGCATTTTAAGTTAGAAGCAGCATTATTATTCTTAAGATGACATTTAAATTGCAAAATAAAATGGCTTGTATGAGGCTTGACTGCCCCAAGCACCTGTAAGCTTCTCTCACCTTCTACATGCAGCTGTAAGAGAAATGTGGAATGTCAGAGAAGGCTTCTCTGCTACATTGTGAGTTGGTTCCTATTTTACAATGAATTTCATATGCAGCCTCTTCAAGAGCACCCAAGTTACACACCTGTTGCCTGGTACCATCCGAGTTTAAAATCTGTATAACCATAGCTATCAAATCAGTGTAGAACACCTCCTACATAGGCGTCTACGTACATACATAACAATCTCAGTTTAAATCCAGTACCAAGAACTATGCCGCATGTATTCCATTCCAGTTCGTAGCAGGGGGTGCTTTTCACACATGAAAGAAAAAAGCACCACTTATAGTATATTTTAATCTCATTTTCTTTCCTGTTACCCATCTTTTTTTCAACCCAGTAATGTTTTTGTTTCTGCTTCATTTCTTTTACCCTCTGTGCCCTGTTAATTACTTCAGTGTTTCTTCCCAGGCATTTTACTTCTTTTTCTTGTTCTACACCTTTGCCTTCCTCTTCCTTGCTCTTCCTCAGTAGTCACCCATTATATTTCCTCTCCTCTGAGAGTCTTCTTTCTTCTCTCATGCTGTCTTTCCACTCCACTGGACTCCATCAGTTGATCCTAAGTTGCTTTATTTGTCCATCAGAATCTAACCTGCAGAGATCTTCCATTCAGGAAATGCTAACCTAAGAAAAGATACTTAGTTTTCCTCAAGACACTGTGGAGTAAGAGTCTGGGTTATGGAATAATTTTTTTAAACAAGACTCTCTGAGGAGATTCACATGCTTTTAAAAATAAATCTCACGTGTCTATCTTCACACAGAAGTTGAAATAAGTCACACATTTTGTCTGTTTTAAGCATTTCCTGGATGTCGGCAACTCTCATTGCTACTTCTAAAATAGAAACCAGCAGGATCTTGCCTGAAAAAATTTTCCTCCCTTGTAAGTTTTCCTCAGCCATATTCTATTATTTTGTCCCCTCTCCAACTATATTGTGTTCTTTGACTGCTGCTCACAGCAATATATTTTGAAGGGTCGAGATACATTTCTCAGTTGGGAAAGCATTTTTTCTTTTTGTACTTATGAAATTTTATAGTACATTAGCAGGCATTGGGAGAATGACTGGAAAAGTAGAATAGCTTCAAAATTCTGCTTTCCAGCCCTTCCCCCTCCCCAAACATAAGGCAGATTGCAGACTATGAAAAAAAAAAATCACATAAGAAATCCTATTCAAGTGCAAAATCACATTGATATCACTACAGTATTTTGAAGCAGGACACATCTGGTTATTCCACTGGATGATTATGAGACTACTCTTTCCCATGCCAGTAAACAGAAAAAAACCCCACCAAACTATTTTTAGGTCTGTTTTTACCCCAAAACTATTTTTAGCCCAGCAAAACTATTTAAAAACTCACTAGTTTTGGCAGGAAAGAATTAAGGATGCATACAAACTTTATAGTAACCATGCTTCTCTGGCCAGAATACACAATGAAATCCTTCCTCAATATTGACATGCATTTATGCAAAACAAAGCTTTACTCAGCTGTACCAGAACATTTCTAAGTAGCCAAAAGAAGTGAGAAATTCAGGTCCCTAAAGTTGTCAAACCACAACCAAGTACCACACATCCACTCGCTCACTCTTCCCCCTCTCTGCCCACTGGTGTGGTTGAGAGAATTTCGAAGTGGTAAAACCTGTGGGTTGAGATAAGAACAGTTTAATAACTGAAGTGAAATATAGCAATAATAAAAAATAGGAATAAACCCCAGTGATAAAAAAAAGGAACACACAATACACTTGCTCACTACACACCAACCGAAACCCAACCTGATGCGGGCAGCGATCTGGGCCTTCTGGGTAACTCACCCCAGTTGATATACTGAGCATGACGTGCTCATATGACAAACCCTTTTGGCCAGTTTGGGTCAGGTGTCCTGTCTCTGCTTCCTCCAGGCTTCTTGTGCCCTTCCTCACTGGCAGAGCATGAGACTGAGAAACTCCTTGATCGGGGCAAGTGGTACCGAGCAACAACGAAAACATTGGTGTGTTATCAGCACTGCCCTCAGACTAAAGCCAAAACCAGCTACTGGGAAGAAAATTACATCTATCCCAGCTGAAAACAGGACAAAACCCAAAATTCCTTGGCTTTGAAAAATGCGTTTCTGGGTGTCTTTACTGCTGGAGTTTGAAAACCCTGCAGCAGTTCTGTGACTAGTAAAAGCAAGGCTTAACATCCTAAAGCGCACATATAAAATCTTGGTTTACCTACACTGTATTTATTTCCCCACACCCACTCTATTTCATACAGAATAGAAGATTTCATCTGAAACTAGATAAACTAAAGAAGAAAGTGGTACTACATTACTTTGGGAGTTAATGTTACAGTCAAACAGCTTAACCTACTTGATTTTGGCTCTGGTCTAAGTTGAGCTATGACTGAAGGTGCTTGGTTCAGTTGTTTGAACTCAGCAAAAATTTACGCAATTCAGTTCTGATGATCAGACACACACACATAATGGCTCGCTGCTCTCTAATGAAGATGCAGCTCACTCATCTCCACAGGCAACTATAAAAGGATATACTACTCATTACCACTGAGTATTCACCAAATAGTATTTCAGATTCTGCAACACTGTGTTAGTTGTCTGTGACCGATTATCTAGATATAATTGTATCATCTGATAGCACTTGGTAGGCAGTCATGGGTAAGTTCTCAGTTTAACAACAACTACTATATTTCTCTGTATTTTTATTTCCAAAGCTGACTGGCTAGTACCATATTCTTCAACAGACCTTTCAGAAGATTTAAGTATTCCACAAACTTATATACTATTTTACAAGCTCAATTTCTCTTAGAACTTTATCAGGCATGGAAGCCTGACAGTTCCAGGATTTAAAAAATAAAAAAAAAAATAATTATGCAACATGCTTCCCAGAACTCCATACTGTTACTTGACAGGGTGCTCTCACCATTTTACATCTTAAAGATGTAATTTATTTCAGCCTCTGGAAAGGAATCCCCAGCAGCTGAAAGAGCAAGCTGAACCCGAGTGAGAATAGAGATGTAGGAGGTGAGAAACAGAAATGGAGACAGAAAGGGAAATGCAGTTCAAACACAGGACACAATCTTTTTTTATGAACATTATTTTTTAATCAAGAGAAGCTTGTGATCTAATGTCAGCATCAGCTGACTTTTCCCTAGACACTAAAACTGTAAGTGGTAACAGCTGCTGCTACATTGAGAACAACCATTCAACATACTTTAAGAGTCTGAGAGGCCAAGACCCAAAGTCAAAGCGTAAGTTCTGGAAGCATTTTAAAAACCAGATGAAAACTGGCAGTCAACAGACGGCAAGTGAGGAATGATCCACTTCCAAATTTGTATTCAGCAGAAAATATAAGGTACAAACCGCAGAGTTCATGGAGTTTTTAAGATTGGGAATATTAAGTGTGTGCTATCCAAATCCACCAGGGTACTGTAGCCAATTGTCTAAGGCACTTGGATTAAGGCTTTAGTCTCTTTGTGACCATGGGTTCAAATTGCACAGCTGCCAGGAATCTTTTTATGGTTGGACTCTATGACCTTAAAGGTCTTTTCCAACCTAACCTGTTCTGTGATTCTACAGGTCTTACCATCTACCAGAATAAGTGCCATTAGCTTTGTGATCAAGCCGCATGAAACAACCTAAAGAAACAGAACTATCAGAAATTGGCAGTATTAAGTTGGCATTCTAATAGCCAGAACATACAGAGTCTCTTGAGGCCGAGGAATGCTCAGTCATGTCTCAAAGCATTTAATCTTGTTTGTATTCTGTATATTTTTAATTGCAAATGAAATCAGCCAAAACCAGGATACTTTAGAAAATTTCTTTTCTACAAGTGTCAGTCTATTCCTAGTTCATCATTATCTTCACCTAAGACTACTCTGCCAGATAGAATGTTAAAGCCACACTGAACCAACAAAAGTCTTGACAAACAGACTAAGAAACTTTCTATGCAGACTGAACTGCAGGGTACATTCCTGAAATAGATTCACCAGCTAAGCGCTGCAACTTGAATATCAGGTAACTGCATGTACATAAAACAAGTATTAATATTTGTCTCTGACTACCTCCTTGTTATCAGGTATTATCAGGTACTTCCCAGTGAAGAAAGGAAAGGCAGCTGCAGTCCTTGTCCCCTCTTTGCTCCTATATACACCACACCATGTGATTACTGTCAGTTTTCACAATTATCAATATTTAGGAAACCGGGAAGAACTAAGCATTCTCTTCCAAAATAGATAGTTAAATATTCTTCCAAGTTTTAGATGAGCTTCACCTAAGCTGTCTTCTGAGAGGTCTGAAATTCAAACATAAGACTCTCACGCACACTGGCAGATTTTAGTACAGCTGCCTGTACAGGAGCATGTGTTTGTGTGCTTTCTGTATTTATACAAGACAATAGTTGTGAGGGCTGTCAAGAAAGTATTGTACTTGCACAAAGCATCTTTATATTGCATACATTTTAATTACACTATTCAACAAAAAAAAAAAATCAAATAAACTTTACCACAAAATGTGTTATATGCAAATTATGGGTTCTCATGTGCACACATTTCTGCCAATTCTGGATGAACAACTTTCTCATTCACTTGCTGAATAAGCATTAGAGGCTAACCTATTAACATACCACTTTGCAAAAAGCACAGCAGGTCAAACAGACTCAGTGAGTAAGGAGAATCTTAAGAACATCATTGTGTCACAGATTCATATCTGGATCCGTTTCTCCAGATTTATACTTGCATCACATGTTCACCTTCATCCCTTTACTCACTATCCTCCCAACCCAAATGCTACAGAAGAAAACAGAAAGGAGAGAAAAGCAGTAAGAACAACCAATCTCTACCCTACAAGCAACTGAGCAGGCTAAGGGTTCTTCAGCCTACCAAAAGATAAAGGTCTATAGAAAGAGTAGTATGGGAGAGGTGAATAGGGATCCCACAGTTACTACATCTTTCAATGCAAGCAGGGGAAAACCATGAAATAAAACTAATTTTCAGAACTCCGTACTTCATGTAACATTGTTCAGTTGTGGAACTCAGCCAAAAGTTTACAGGCATTTAAGAGAAGACAAGAGATGCTAACAGATGAGGCCTTTAAGTCAAGACATCTTCAGGGATAAAGAACATGCCTGACCATTATATTCTTCCACAAGTATCTGCTGTTGGCCACTGAGAGCTATGTGATGTTCCTTTGATAAGACAAAACAAAACCTTCTGGTCCCATAACAGTGGCTACTTTAAAGTGACCACCGTGACAAAACCTGAAAGATCTGGGGGCTTGGCTCTACAATCTATAGTGCACAATACAACTTCCTCAGCCAGGTCCTAGCCACTGACACATGTAATTTACATGTATTTATGAAAATACATACAAAACTTCACTGATTGGTCTTCTCCACAGGCTCTGGTTCCAAAAATAGGCCAAAACGTTATCTCAATGTGATCCTACACTCACCTCCTTGCTTTCTGACCCCTTGAACTTGCCCTTCTTACCTTCTTCCTTGCATTAGTACTCAACATGATCCTGCTAAGCTGGCTCATGGAACAACACTGTAAATTTGAGCAATTCTTGGCCAGTCTGAGCTGGTTTAAAGCACAAGGAATCCACTGAGCGCTAGTGCCAGTACAAGTAGGGAGTGACAGCAGCCTTCGACAGGCTGCTATCGTGGTAGGGAGTGGTGATTTGTGTGTTGTTTCAGGTGTAAGTGAAAATCTTTCAGATTGCTTAGATCTGAAACAGGTATGACGACTCTTGGCAAAAAGACTAACTCAATTATTCCTGATTTTCTACCCATTTGAAGCATATTTTCCAAAACTAACAATGCATGGAAAAGCCAGAGCAGGGATATTCAAGTTATGTAAAGTGAGTATGCAATCTGGTGATCAGTTATGTTCATACCAAAAGCTTCATTCACTACAAGCAATCATACCAGTACCATATGTAAATTTGTTGCTTCGCAGCATCTGGAAATAACAGTAGCCAACTTCTTAGAACATTTTTTTGTCCCTTAAGGTCAGTTGCTGTTAAAAGTCAAATCTGTTTGTACTGTTCTTTTGCCCAGCACTTCATTATTCTGTTATTATTAGTTGTTTACACAAATGATGTTGACCTTTTTCTCTTTTTAGAGTGCAGTGATATCAAAACTAATGCATCCCACCACAGGAAGTTGTAGGATTTTTCTTGTTTTGGTCTGATCAATGTATTTTCGTTAAAGGTCTTGTTCCACATAAACCATGCTGAAGAACAATGACTGAGATGGTCTCTAAGGTTCACAGACTCAGAGACCACATTACTACATAAACTCCTTAATAAATACCAAAAGTGAGATACAGGAGTTCTTTAGTTACAACCCGAAACCAATCTTAATATTGCAATCTTAGGAGACCACAATTATACAGTTAAAGTAAACATTTTTACAATGTCATACTAGTAAATGTTCATTTGGGAGTACATTACTAATCAACATAAATTACAAGACATTATCTGAACATCCATGAACATTATCTAGGAAAGGTGTATTCTTCATCAGGAAAAATATTTCTAAAGACTTTTAGTATATAAATGCTTTTTCAGATAAACTTGCAATTTCTTCTCTGGAAAATAAGGATTTTCACACAGGGCAGTCTGAATGATTTCTGATCACAGATTAACTACTGTTGATAACATTTCTGTACCAGTAGGTTCACCAGGAAGAAGGCAGGAACAAGAAATTCACATCTCCCCACTATCAGGCAGTAGATCTAAATAAGACAAAAAATAACCTTAAAGGGAAGCTTTTTTTCTTAAACACAATGCACAATTAAATCATGGGACTCACTACCACAGGATTCTGTAGAGGGCTAAAAACCAGCAAGTGTAGTTCAATAACGAACTTAATGTGTTAAGAGAATAATCCGAGTTGTGGCTACTTAACCATCATGGTCTGGAAAACCTTAAAAAGAAAAATCAGATGGAACATACACTAAAAAGATCACACACACTGCTTATTGTGCTAATCCCCATGGCATCTGCTACGACTGAACTAAGACTAGACTACAAGGTAGATGGACCTTAGTTACCACAAAAAGGTTTCACGTCTCCTGATCCTCCACACACTAGAAGTTATTTCAGGTCAAACTTGTCTTCTACAGACTGAGCTGCTGTCACGTAGGTTTAGAAGATACAATGCTTCAGCTTTTGAACAGCCTGTTATAAAGACATTCTTAAATTTGCACCAGAGATTTTACCAGACGCATAAGAAAAGTTGTCTTCAATGCAGAAAGTTTTGAGAAGAGACAGTCACATGGCTTTGCAAATGCATTTCAGGGAAAGAACAACAACAATCAATGTAACATTAGGAATTGTTTTCAAGTTACAATCTATACGCATCACTTCAATGTGAATATGCACTCGCAGCCTAGTTTTAAGAAGCACAAAAGATGGCATTGGTTCATCCTTTCCACCAGCTTTTAGTATATTTTACAATTTAAAATATTATTGCCTTTCAGGAACATGACAAAAGTCACTTTAATACCAAATCCATACTTGCTGTGTAGGAAAACAGACTGTTTCTACTTTATAAAGACTACCTTGTGCAACTCCACTTGCTATTAGCTTTCTAACCTGGAAACACAGAACCTGGTAAGTAGATTTAGTCACATTAGCATTCATCAGTATTTGCAGATTCTCGGTATATCCCAGGATTTGTACTTGAACTATGAACTTACAAATGCTGAAGGCAAGAAAAGGACTCCAAGTTCATAAGAGCGGATCATCAGTTGGGTGCCATTTTTCTCCAGAGCTCCCCAAGCTGCTTTAGATAGGTTAGCACTGCAAGGAGAAAGCAAGCACTTCAGTAAGACAATCTTCACAGAAGCAAATGTTCCTGTATCACAGCTGTAGCAATACACTTCTAGCAGGAGAGCTTCACTTCTACCAGAAGAGTCTTTTCCGTAGAAAGTAATTTTGGTGTTATTACTTATCGCTATTTTTACAGCACAGTGGGAACAGCAGAAGCATACTTGTACAACACATGTGGATAATTATACAATCCTACTTGTGTCATACAGATCTACAAGACTAATTCAGCTTCTTGAATGTTCTCTGCATCTTCTTTCTTCAGAAAAGAACTTGGTATTAGTAAATAGCTTCAGTTTGATGACGTAGGAAGAATAAAGGCCAGTTCAATTATGACTAGTTTCATTACAATACGTTAAGTACAGAGCATTTTTGCAAGTGTTAAACTATCTCTCATTCCTAGCATTTTTTCTTTGATATATTTATGAAGATAAGTATTTATTAGACAGGTATTTTTATACAGCTTTCAGCACCATGTTATAGTTAATGCTTCCTCAGTAATCTGCTGTGAAGTAGACCAAATTGAGAGTCAAACAGTAAGCGCAATTCTGTTGTCAAAATCTACTTCTACAGCAAAATGCAAAGCTTAAACATTACTTTTTAACTGATATACTGGATGCTTTTTGATACTACCAAATGGTGGAATAAGAAACATGGGAGGGGGGGGAGCAACCATGAATTTCTGTATTAGGTGGACCAAGCATCACATTTCAATGACTTAAATCCTTTAAAAAGCACCTCAATCACTACTGCTATTACAGACAACAGTACCAATGAGTGATGAAAGTTAGACAGCAAGAATATAAAGAGGATAAAAGATTAAAGTGACTGAGAATGTAAGAGTAAGGATATAAAGATCAAAATCCACAATATATAGGGTTGCACAAAGATCAGTTTTGGCAAAGCTGAAACGTGTAGTTTTCATTAACAGTAAGACAGTCTCCCCACATGTCAAGAAATTTCTTGCTCCCTCTTTTGGCTTCTTTAAGAACCAAGCAATAGAAATACAAAGCTAGGCTTCACTAGACTGCTGAACAGCTCAATCTGACGAAAGGTCAGATTCCAACTGCTAGCTATCTACATGTTTTGTAACGATAAGGCAGCACAAGGATAAATTTCAACTTAATCCACATCTATTTTTACAAACCTGCACATTCATGTAGTGCATGTTAAAGAAACTTAACCCAAGATTTAAAAATACTTATCACTTCAGCTGATGCTGAAGCCTGAAATTGGCAGTTACAGCTCAGATAAGATTATGGTGTGACTGTAAACAGTTCCATAACAAAATCACTCCAACCGGCAGCCCCCAAAGGGGCAATGCAATAAAGAAACATTAAATACAGACAAAAATTCCTATCACTACTTACTGTCTTGTGAGGATTACAGGAGTAACCCACCTGGGCCTACAATTAACAAGAATTTTGTATGTGACTAAGTGAGAGTGCATGGTTGTCATTTACCTTGTAACTAAGAACCATGCAATCTTCTGGAAGTCAGGAGAAGATCTCATGTATGTCTTAATGTGAGGCATAGCTTGACTTCGACCTGAGACTTCGGCTGACCATTTGCTAGAAAAGAAAAGGAATTCTTTTCATATACAGCTTTATTTTGAGGTCTACAAAAACATATTCATACTACAGTAACATATTGTCAGTAATACTACCCTATACTTGTCACATTTAATAGTCATTTCCCTTACAGAAATGCTGAAAACACTATAACTGAATTTTTAATCCTGAAATCCAGCCTTACTAGTAGTCAGAAGGGCAGGATTTTCTTTCTCTACAAAGAAATCAGACAGATAATTCTCCTCAGTATATCAGGCTCTCCTAACAAGCTTTTCCATTCCTCCACTCCAGCTAGCACACAAGAAACCAAGTCCAAACTTCCAGCCAGTATTTCTTTTTTTGAAGACTATCATGCCTTTAAGCAAAGGAACTTGGCACCAAATTAAACCTTACAAAATTCTTGAAACTTACTACAATTCATTATCATGAAGTAGAGGAAAGGAGCAACTGATAGATTGTTCATACTACCCCTCTCCTCTTCCCTTTTCTGTGCCTCTAAGCCACTAATATTTGAGGGCTTAGTAGAGAAGAGGTCATATCTATGTGTATATATAAAAACTAGTTTAAAACAACAAGCCATTGCTGGGGTAATTCAGCATCAACATTACAGAACTAAACTGTAAACAAGCATCAAATATATGCACATAATTGAAGGTATATAATCACAGTATTTAGAAGCACTTTCCACTCTCAGCTTAGTCTTCACACACAAGCAGGAAGAAGGCTTCTAAATACACATCTTCATACACTTTTCTTTCCTCAGTATGAACATAATAGGCTCTGATTTTGGTTGTCACAATCTTACTTCCCTAATTTAGCATTCTTATAAAAGGCAGATAAAGAATCAATCAGCTCTGAAAAATCTCATTTAAATGTTCATTTAAAAGCCTGATAAGACTGAAGTGGAAGGGCTGGAATTATTTACCAAAGTTGACTTTCAGGACTAACTTGCACATGAGTTAAGTCAAGAGGTTTTGCAGTTCAGGGGTCAAGACCTACTTGAACAACCCTATACTGTGATAGAAGAAAGAAAACTATTTCTGAGAAATGGTCCTGTATTCTTGAAGGGCAAGACCTTAAACATTGTATGTACATTTGGAGCAGACAGACATCTTTAGATTTTGATGCAAGCCACACTGAAATCTGTTTCTGAAGACTAGACCAAGATACATACAATATAGAAACAGCCAACCAAACTTACAGAATTCTCACTTTCCATATTGTAAAACTGTAAGGCTATACAGAGTCAACAATTCTTGTTAATAGCTTTTATCTTACAACTGACAGTTTAGGCAAACATAAATTTAAGGCACAAAAATAATTAAGTAACTCCAGTCATATTACAGGAATGAAAACCAGGAAAAACAGAATTGGGAATCAAAGACTGATTTTCTTTAGATCTCACTGCCTTACTCAAGGACAAACTGGTTTAGCATGAGTATTACTGATTTTCTTCTATTTACTAACCACAGTAATCTAATTGCAGTTAGTTTCAATTACAAGTGATTGAAACTGGTATTCCAGAAAGTTAAAATCAGAAAGGGAAGCACATATTTTGGCCATATTTTCTCTAATAGGATGGCATAAATAGGTAAGGACAAAAAGTGACTATGTTCTCTGATCATGATTGGTTTGTTCGGGTTTTTTTAGTGTGTTGCAGGTTTGGGTTTTTTTTTGGTTGGTTGATTTTTGGTTTAGGGTTTACTTTTTTAAAAATAGTAATTATTTTACAGAAAAACTCAGATGATTTTGGCAAAAGCACTATTAGCAAAGAAGTATTTAAGAAATGTTTTCTCTTCAACCTAAAAGTCAGCTTACCCTGAAGACTGCATAATGGAATGACAAGCCAAAAGAACTGGAAGCAGTTTCAGATGGGTACAACATCTCATTTAATCTGTCCTTAATACAGCTAAATTTCAGCCTCACCATGGAATTTTCCTGGCATAATTTAGAACATAAAAAAGCCAAAACAGATTACAAAAAAGCTTCAAGTAAAATACAAAAGCAGTTGCTTTGCATAGCAAAGATGAAAGCATATGCCAATAAAACAATATCAGGACGCTACTAGTCAATTTGATTTAACACATTTTAAGCTGTAAACAGCTTAAAAGCTTGTCATCAGAATGTAGCCGGCAGAGGATGTACACAGGACTGATCTCACCTTGCAGTAAACTTCAGGCACATTCAATCTCGGAGATAAACATGGTAACATGAAACTAGCTTTGAGAAATCTTATGGAGCAGAATCACAGCTTGAAGTAGTTACTTTTTTGATAGTCAGAGGTCATGGTACCATGTAAACTAAAAGCTCAAGTGTGGGGTAAGGAAAAGGCATATTATCAGAATTTGAACAGTAAACTTGAAAGCCTTTTTGCTGGGGCTTTTTTTTTTTTAGTTATTTTTACACTCCTAGGACTAGAACTCCTTATCACTCATACAACTTAATTTAGACTTTAAATCCCTAATGCTGATATTTTATCAGTAATTTGCTGCTACTCCCAGTCTTCTGTGCCATTCAAATCAGCAGCCTTTCTTTATTCTTTTTAATTACATAGCCTCTAGTGTGATGACTAGGTGCACTGAATTGAAGAGGTAATCTACTTTCTAACTCTTACAACAGCTTTTGCCCCTTCCATCCCTCCATTTTTCCAACAGTATTTTTGAAGGGTGGGGGAAGAGAAGAAAAATGTTCTCTACCACTAGTAAGGTATCTTGTGCAATACAGAAGACACATTGTCCACACTTGCACTGCACTACACTACAAATGTGAATGCTTACAAGTTGTTGCTTTTATATTTATTCAACCACTTGCAAAATTTCAGAAATATGGTTTTAAGTGTTTGACAAATATTTCTTTTAGTCTGTGATGAATTTTTGAGTTTGAAAAGGAGACTACACTGCAATCACAGTGCATTTAGCTGGAAGACACATAACAAGTATTAATTGCCACTAGTGCCTGATATTCCTTGCACAAATGAGGTACATGAGCAGACACAGGCACCTTTACAAATGGAGCTATTGAGAAAGGGAAGCCAAATAATCCTAACATCCTGAAAATTCACAGTGCAGACACACTCAACCATAATTAAAGCCAGAAATAACTCATTTTCTACAACATCACCTCTTCCATCACTCAGTTCTTACTTCAAAAAGCAAATAGGCTTTCCATCTCGAGATACTGGCAACAAGGCTTGAGCATAGTTAAAACAACTCACACCATTAGTCTTGACCATAAAAGAACAACAAGTCCCCTGTGTAAATGCTCTGTATCTCTCACTTATGACATCAGGGGAAAAACACTGTAGTTCTTCAAACTGAGAAGAAAGATGTCTTCAAAACTCTACAGGCCTAAAGAGCACAAAGCTCTAACACAACTATGATTATGGACTTGTCAACAGCAAGCAAAAAAACTCTTTTCAAACCATCTTCTTCCATTCTTTCAAAAGAGAAATACAACAAAGTAACTGCACAAACATAAGGTGCATGGTATTAAAAGCCAACCAATTAAAATAAGTATTAAAATACAATTGTTTATGTACTGTTAAAACTAGTCAACTGTTTCAAAAGCATCAATTAACAGAAATCATTAAGCATCTCTCCTTATCGATCAGTAACACTGAATGCTGAAAGGAAAACACCAGCAACCCTATCAGAGAAACAACTGAGCAAATTAAACCATTTACACAGTAGTTAATCTAACAAAGCAGTCTAGTAATTATTCGCTATGACCAGAAAAATGAAATCAATATTAAGTTTTAGTTTAGTTGCCTTATTCTTTTGAGAAATTACAATTCAGAGCTGCATTACAGGTTAAATACACTCAACTGGCAGAAGACACAGAAAAGCAGACCACAGACATAAAAATTGTATGCCTGGGGCAGAGGTTCTACCTCTTTAGGTGAGACTATAGGACTCCATTTACCAACCCCATTAAAATCTCTCGCTACTTGTAAAAAGGATCTATTCCCTCTCCTTTAAGTATAGAAGTATTTCTCTCCTTTCAACTCTGGTAGGATCCTTGGTTTCTTGTTGGTTTTGTATTGTTTTCCAGCAAGGTAAATACAAATTCCTCTAACCCCTCTACTGCCCAAAGCTTTGCTTTATGGCAAGTCTTTAGAAGAGCTCATCATATATTTAATCTATTGAAACAGGACCTACCATTTTCTATGTCTCTTGGGTTACCACACATAAGAAGCCAATGTGTATCATCTGCTCTACAGCAACAGTTTACATGCAGGCCCTCCTCAAGGAAGCGTCCTGTATTACTGCAGGGTAAGAATATGCATCTGGGTGGCCACTACAGAGCAATTATGCAGGGTCAATTGTCACTGGCAAGCAAGTTGCCAGATGAATTTAAATCAGCCCTTTTGTCACCACAGCAGGACCATAGTATGCCCAATGAGACAAGTATGTGAGTATTTTCTCACTGAACAGGAATAAATCAATGGCTAATGTCATAGAATCATAGAATAGTTAGGGTTGGAAAGGACCACTCCGTGCACTAAAGAGACTAACTAAAAAGAAAGTTGTATTTTTCTTCCAATAATAGTACTCTCATAAGATATATGCTTATAGAAACTGAACTAAAACTGCACAAACGCCCCAGTTTTACAATCTCCTCTTTTTGAATCATGACTGAACAATCTCAAAAGGTGCCTATAGCTTTCTTCCCTCCCTAAATATGCTCAGAGGGCACACTTCAAAGGCAGGAGAGACAAAGCCTCATATGCTTTCTGTTCCAGTTCCATTCCTTGGACATCGACCAGCAAGACTCACAGCAGCAATCATGTTCACTCTGGAATGGAGGAAGCTCTCTGAAACTAGACACTACATTCTCAGCCCTCTGAATACATCTACACACACATACACAACTTCACACACTTATATGGGTAAAGTATCCTACCAGAGCAACTTTCACCTGGAAGAGTTAAACTAGTGAAAAAGAGGGGAAGCTATGGTCTTGTAAGATGTTACCAGATTATTTTTATTTTTAATCTGTGCAAAACAAGTTTTCCCATTGTTCTCAAAACACACAAGTTTTTAAAGCTTCAGCCTGGGGGAGAAATCTAACATGGAATTTGGCAAAATCAGTAGCAGGGGAAAATAGAAGTTCTTAATATAAAACGTCAGGCACCTTTAACAAAAGATATTACCACAAATAAAAATTTTTGCAGCAGGACTGCTGCACTCAAGAAAGCCCTCCTAACCCTGCTGTGGCACAGCTGAAATCCTGTCAGTACTGCAGCACAGTGGGAAAGTGAAATAAAACTGTAAATTTAAAAAAAAAAACAAAAAACAAAAAAAAAAAAAAAAACCAAAGAAAAAAAGAGAGGAAAAGAGTAACATTATTCCAGTTCAGAGACAGAAAACTTAAAAGGAAGTTTACAGAATCAAAAATCTGGTAGTGTCCTCCATTAGCAAGCGTCTCATATAACTATTAATAGGTAAGTAGCACATTTGAAGGTAAGCCCTTGCTTTTAACACCTGAACATTACAGCATCCCAAGTTTAAACATACAGTCTAAGAAAAAAAAAAAACAACACAACAAACAAACAAAACAACCAACAAAGAATTGAGTTCTACTTACTGAAAATAGGAATGCAACCACAGCTGTTTCTGTGCTGTCTGTATACTGTACGGAAGTGAGCCACCAGCTTCAGGAAAAAATAGAACATGTACATTTGTTTTCTGAAAGACATTCTAAAAGCAGCAAGAATCTTGGGGAGTAAGCGATTTGTACTATCCTCATGACTTATCAGAAAATTGTTCAATGCTCCAATAATATAAAATGGTATATAGTTTTTGTTTTTTTGTTGTTTGGGGGTTTTTTTTCAATCTTATAATTTACAAAGTTTCTAAACACTAAGTAGCAGATTTACACTAGGAAGAAGATAAACTCTATAGGCTATAGAATTGAGTCCTCTTAGAAGATAAACATTTATGGGTAATTTTTTATGATACCACTTGATCTAAACAGATTAGAATCATTATCCATACAAGCTAGAGGGAATAAAACAAGAAACTTTCAGAAAAAGACAGACTACAAAACAACATTATTTTGAAAAGCAAGAACTTCTAATGAAATTGTATTTGTATTGATTTGGTCTCTTGTTAATGCAGGTTGTGATTTCTTGAAATGGATTTAAGAAAGAAGAATCAGCAACACTAAATTATATTAGTGTTCCGTATTAGAAACAAACTACATGCAAAACCTACTACATTCAACCTGTCCTAGAAGACACCGTAAAGACCCATTACAAATGCTTTACTACTTTCAGGAATTCGTTACCTGCAGGTGTCTATGGAGCTGTTCATTTGCGCTCACACAAAATTATGTAATTCACCAAGTTATTCCACAATATGAAAGAAATTAAATTAAGGAGCCACTATGTAGAATGCATCTCTGACTTTCAAGAATTATCAACTTTGCTAAACAGATGCTATAGGCAACCAGATGTATTTCAAAAGACTCTTAATTGTGGGAGCCATAGATACCTAAAAACTCACTGGCTGCAGTTTCTGTGTATGTCCAACCACTGCTCAATTCAAAGGAAAGAGAACTGAAATCATTCCTGCCAGCCCTGTGTTCAGGGTGTTCAAAACACGCCACCTGTCAGAAGAGTTCAACAGCTACTCCATACTACACAGGAACATGAGTATCCAGCTTGGAACAGCAACATGTGTATAGATGCAACAATGCCAAAGAATGACCGAATTGTTGAAGTTGAAAGCACGCACCAGAGATCATCTAGAATAATTCACTGCTCAGTACAGTGTTCTGGCAGGTTTTGAGTATCTCCAACAAGAGACTCTACAAACTCTGAGCAACCTGTTCCATTTAAACATCAGAAAACATTTTGCTGTAAGGGTACACTGGAATCTCTCATATCTCAATTTGTGTCCATTACCTCTTGTTCTTTCACTGGTCACCATGCAGAGAATCTGCCTCTACTTTGCATCCTCCTATCAGGTACTTATACACACTGATAGGGTCTCCCAGCAAAGTTCTCTTTGCCAGGCTGAGGAATTATGCAGTGCTCTCAGCCTCTCTTTGTGTGACAAATGTTCCAATCCCTTCTCTTCATGGCCTTTTGCTTGACTTGATTCAGTATGTTCAAGTCTGTCTTGTACTGGAAAGCCAGCAGTTGGACTCCAGATGTGGTCTCACCAGTGCTAAATAGAGGTCCTGCACATGGGTGAGGGCAATCCCAAGCATAGATACAGGCTGGATGGAGAATGGATTCAGAGCTGCCCTGAGGAGAGGGACTTAGGGGTCTTGAGTGACTAGAAGCTCAACATGAGCCAGCAGAGTGCACTCACTGCCCAGAAAGCCAACTATGTGTTGGGCTGCATCAAAAGCAGCGTGACCAGCAGGTTGAGAGAGGTGATTCTCCCCTGTACTCTGTTCTGGTGAGAGCCCACTTGCAGTAGTTTCTTCAGCTCTGAGACCCCCAGCATAAGGAGGATGTAGAACTGTTGGAACAGATCCAGAGGAAGTCCACAAAGATGATCAGGGGGCTGGAGCACCTCTCCTATGAGGACAGGCTGAGAAGGTTGGGCTTGTTCACACTGGAGAAGGCTCAGGGGAGACCTTTGAGCAGCCTTTCAGTGCCTAAAGGAGGTCTTCCAAGAAAGCTGAAGAGTGACTTTGAAGAATATGTAGGGACAGGACAAGGGGGAATGGCTGAAAGAGGGTAGATTTAGGTTAGATATTAGGAAGAAATTCTTTACTATGAGGGTGGGGAGGCACTGGAACACGTTGCCCCAAGTTTGTGGCTGCCCCATCCCTGGAATTTTTCAAGGCCAGGCTGAATGGGGCTTTGAGCAACCTGGTCTAGTGGGAGGTGTTTGGAACTAGCTGATCTTTAAGGTTCTTTCCAACCCAAACCATTCTACGATTCTACGACTGACATCAGCCAGCTCCCTTAGTGGGCATTTAAGTGCTTGCTTTTGAGAAACAGAAGTTTCACAGCATCAGAATACTAAAGCTGCTCTCCTCCTTCAGGTTGGCTGGGGCTATGCTTTCTATACAAAATATTGACTTCATGAACACAAACATGGGAAGACTAAACAGAACAATTGCATGTTACAATATTAACAAAGTGACTAACAGTAGAGAAACCTCTTATTCTCCACTGTGTCTGATGTGTAGGATGACACTGCAAAGAAGAAACAAGGAGAACATGGCACAATCAAACCTGAACTTTCTGTCAAAACAGAACTATGACTGGAGCCAGAACAGCAGGCATGAGCCATTTTTTTTTCTATACAATGACCTATGGATGCGGCTGTAGAGCAAACATTATATAAAAATGCCCACAAAGCTTTTTCTATTCAATCATAATAGGAGAGCTGGAGTCAGAGCCCCATTAAGATTAATAAAAGGATTCTACTGCCATCTATTCTACCAAGTTGTCATACTGCTGAGAACTTTGGTTTCATTCAACATCAGAGAAGTGATTTTGCAGATCATTATGACCACTTGCTTACCAGGATAGCCTTCCAGACTTTGCCTCACATTGTTCACAGTAGGATAAACCTTCATGGAGGGGGGGGGGGAAAAAAACCACATAAAAAAGCAACTTTTATAACAGCTCTAAATACACAAGCTGCCAATTTCTGAACAAAAATCATCTTAAAAGAAAACTTACTTGACAACATAAACATTTAAAGCTTTATTTTCCAGAAAAAATAAAATTACACTGTAACTTAGAACTAGTTGTGTACCAGTAACAAGAAGTCTCTCAGATTTTACCTCTCTTGCAGAGCTTACCAAAATTAGCTAGCAAGACTCAATCTGTCTTGCTTCAACCCCTTGCACAGTGGTCAACATTATTTTGAGATTTTAGACTCATAGTTCAAATGTTTGACATTTCCTCCCCAATTTAACAAGCTCCTGCTCCTCATCTGAACTGTGCTAATAACCAGGTTAGTAAATAATTTAGTTTAGGTATTAATCACTCAGGGTTCAGTTAATCTCAGTAGCAGAAACAGCTGCATCTACAAAACTCAGAAAAGCTATGGAGTAAGAATATAATTTTGATTATATATGCTCTAATGTCATGCTGATGGAAATTACAGTATATTTTTATACTATAAGTGGCATCCTTATGATTTCAGGATGAAAACTACATTAATGTCTTCCAAAAGTTAAAAGCAAACCAATGACTAAGATCTAAACAACAGACAAATAAATGTTAAATAAAGGTCACTAGCATCTAAAAGACATACCAAGTGAATTGGAACATCACATTTAAGACTCGTCACACAACTGCCTGCAGCCACCAGGCTCTCCTGGAACTCTGAGCACAGCCATTTGGACCCATCAGCTCCCATTGAACCAATGCTTGAGAACTGTCCAACAACAGGCCAGGATTCCTGCGCTGGTATTGACAAAGCATGGTCTTTCAAAAGCTAGTGATGGAAATTAAAACATTGTTAAAACTTCAACAGGCAAAGAGTACCTTAATTAATGGTTTAATATCACTTCTGATTTAATCCTCTATTAAATCCTCTGTAACTCACTTCTGACAGAGATTAACATTCACACTATCATTTTAACTTTGCAATAAAAAGTCAGGCTGTCCAAATAAATCCACTGTTCCTTCAAGAGAAGATCAAACATCACAAGTTTTATCCAAAAGGCACCAAAGTCAGCCATTAAATGGCTAAAAAGAACGCTAGCAGCTCTTCCTAAAAACATCAAACATTGGCTTCAGAAATCACAATAAATTAAACAACAATCTTTTTATATTTGGTGGTTGCTAGCCATAAAATTCCTCTCATATCCTAAAGCCCCAGCTACAATAGAAGCCTACAACAAGAAGGGAAAAAAGAACAATTGAAGAGAAAACTGAAATAATGCTTTTAGAGGAGTTCTTTAACAGTGAATGGAATTTAAAGTCACATTAAAACCAGATGGATATAGGCACATATTGGATTTACCTCTGCCCCCCTCTAGAGTGAGCACATAACTAAATGGCTTCAGACATCAGTATAGTGTTACCAGGTCTATCTGCATTGTCACTAAAACAATCTTTTTAATTTCAAAAACATTTTCTTTACAAGCTTTTTCTGTTTTGTTTTCATTGTCTTACTAGGCAAAAATACGTTGGCATCCTACCCCCAAGTTTATCTCTAGTCAGCCTGATTTTCTCTTTTCCCCCTTTTAAATCCAGTTTAAAGCTCTTTCAATGAGCCCTGCTCATTCTGGTGCAAAGACCCTTTTCCCCCTGCTTTGAAAAAGGTGTACTTCCATCTGTTACCAGCAGGACTGCTGTCATGATCAAACAAACCCCAACTTAGAAGCATAGCAGAACAAAACTTAAAACCTGACTGAACTGATGACATTAGCTATGTGCAAACTGGTTTTTAATTTGATGGCTTTCTGCCAGGTCATTAGGGAAGAAGTAACTGCAACAGCATTTAACATTTAAGTAAAGAAAATAAGCTTTTTCCCTATGTGCAGGCAAGTCTGTATCAACGTATCTGTCTTCAGCAAGCGCCTTTGAAGGCAGTTATATTTGGTTCCCAGTCACAGAAGACTGGATTTTGATAGTGTCACACTTGTTAGAAACACCAACAGCAGGTAGGAAGTCATTTGAGTGATGGTGACTTCTCAGGTATCTACAAGTGCAGGACAATTCAGACCACAAGCTGACCATGGTAATATTGCCCAGGAACATTATGTGGAAAGTCTATGCTGTCATAAATTGCAAGCTTATGTTAATGCTCACTTAAACTGTAAATTATCATAGCTGGAAAAATTGGAAAGAACTGCAGAATGCTCTCCAAAATTGCATTTGCAGTTAAAGTCTTAGCAAAAACGGTTACAGTTTTGGTACCTTTCTCAGCCTAAGATGACCCCACTTTTCTTTATCTCTACCTTGATATCGTCCAGGGGTAGAACCAAGCAGATACACTCTACAAACAAAAAGAAGAAAAAAAGCGAAAACAAAAAACAGAACACCACAACACCAAGTTATTTGCAGTTCTGGAGTATTCTGGTTTGTAAAGTACTTAAGGTATTCAAGTGAAACCTATCAGCAATGTTGAATATATAAGGGCAACCAGCAATGTTTAATCTTTCACACTTAAGCTTTACAGTATAACAAAAAGTGGATTTGTTAGAGCCGATCTACTGCTACATCCAAATCAGCAGATTTGGGTACGAGTTTTCATTTGGGCACCTAATAGTTCAGATGCAAAGTACAGCTTTTTTGACTGCCTTCCCAATGATTTTTAGTAAGCCTGCTTGACTTGGCCTTGAAAACAGAGGGTAGACCTCCAGAGTCACAAAAACACAGACTTTAAGAAGCTTTCCTTACTGCATCTCACACATTGCTCTATCCACAAATGATGTCCTCAACATATTTTATATAGCAAGGAACTGATCCTTAGCCCAATAACTGACTCTTCCCTAACCCATATATAAACTCACATAAGCTAGGGCTCAGTCAACCTGTTCAAGCTCATGCAGTGACAGCATGAATAAGAACAGCAGCTCAGGCTGTTAGGTCACTAGACTATAGAGTACATACTTTTTTACCCCCTCCAGTCTTGTAAGACTCCATATCAAGAAAAAAAAAGCACTTTTTTAATGTATTACACTAGATCAGGTTTCTGTCTTTTTCCACCAGAGTTTATGACCATTTTCAGTATTTTTCCAACTAAGTTTTGCCAGCTTATAAAACTGCTATTAAGCAACCAAGAAGATTTACACTTTCTAAAGTAAATACCACATTTCAGTGGAAATGCAAGATTTATCTATTAGAAGTAAATTAAGCACCCTTAATTATTTTAAGTAATACCAGCAATGTGATACTGAGAAGACTGCTTCTAGACAAAGTATATTATTAATATAACATTGCCTACTAGACAAAGTGTATTATTAATATAACATTGCCTACCAGACACTATCCATGTCTCTAACAGGCAAAGTTATACATATATGTACTTTCAGCTACCTTCTGTCAAGTTACTGATGATACACCTTTTTTCATTCCTTTAAAAAAGTATGTTTAGAAAACAAGTGGGGCAATTCAACATAATCTGCATAACATAGATATAAAAAAGCTTTCAAAAGTTAGATCATGTTCAAACATTTAAGTCTGAAACAGCGTAAACTGTTACAAAAAGCACGCAACTTATTATAAGCATAAGATAACATACCTTGTCTCTGATAAATCGTGTTCTTGAATCAGATCTATCCATTCCTTGAGTGTAGGAGAATTGTAAGCCATCAAGTAGCTTATTAGGTCAGATTTAAAATTAGTTGCAGATTCACCAGCAGAACCACTTGTTCCCTGAGGTAGCCTTGGATATAAAGGGCTTAACCATATTCTAAAAACAAAGCCACAAAAACAAAGGACACCACAATAACACATGGTTTTAGTAGGGTCATTAAAGCATATTTGAAGGTCCTAAATGAGTACTAGAGATCTATAAAGCAACTTGCCTTTAGAGTCATCAAGTCTTACACTCAATACCATAAAACTAATACTTGAAAATAAGAACAACAATCTCAACATATTTATCCACACATGCATTTACAGCTTTCACCACTGTTAAACAAGTCAGGCTTAGACTTACCAACCAGTAGTCCTTTCACCAAGATTTTTCTACAGGATTAGAACATTGCAAGCATTCTGCTAAGCTACCAGTTTGTGTAATGATATAAGAAAACCACTAATTAGAGTATCTGGAAGTTCTGCATAGCTTGAAGAGTAGCCCACAATGATAACCTGCCTCTCCAAAAATCTCACCACAGTAAAATAGGGTGGGATAAATCAGTAAAACACGCAAGGAAAGCATATAACATTTCTTTCCAGTCACACATTATTGAGGCCATGAAAACCAAGGGTTCCACATTGCCAACTTCACAGCATGTTGACACTATCCTTTTTAATTCAGAAGCCTGTAAAACAGACAAGCCAGTGAACTGTCATATTGGTAATACTGCCTGTTACTGCAGTGTGCAAAAGCTAAAAAGAAAAATGTTTTCATGTTTGTAAAGTATGACAACTTGTTAAGCATCCAAATAGATATTTTCATGCCTTCTTGGCTTTCTGAAAAGCTAACTGCCAAAAGACACTAAAGCCATCCCTAAGTAAAAGATTTATGGATCAAAAAAATCAGTGATTATGTTTTGCCACTCAAACTCCTATGAGAGCTTGCCTCAGACAAGTGAAAAGCCTCAAAACTTTGCCACACTTAATGGCAGTAAAAATGAACGTCAAGGCAACAGTAACTTCTGAAAAGCTATTTTCAGCTATAGTTTGATGGAGTAATCTTATACCCTGAGTTACTGTGGAGATTAGCTGGGGAAAAAAAAGTTTCTGCAAAAACAGCCAAGAAAAGAGGTTGATGGGCCTTGTATGAACATGTCACTTGATTTTATTTTTGTGCTCTAAACAAAACTATATCCCAAGCTGGCTGTTAAGTTTAAAAGCTTCTACCAAATAAAACCAAGAAGAAAATTCCTTCCAAAGAAAATATACTATATTAACAGGAACCAACAGTGCCCAGCATTTACCAGGTTACATTCTGGATACAGTCACAGCAGAACATCTGTACACTCACATTATTCTTGCAGTATTAAGGTAATTTTTAAATACCTGCTTCAGATTTGTATAAAAAATAGTTTACAGCTAGGCAGTTTTGCTCATAAAGAGACAGTGTTGCATAATAAAAGATCTTAAATAAGGCAGCAGCCAGCTCAGGATAATTTTGTTTACAACAGAAAGCAAGGAGAGTTCAGGCTTAGACAACTTTGATTTTTTGGGGTTTCTTTATGTTTTTTTGCAGGATAGCTCTATTTTAGGAGTGTAAAACTTGTAGCACTAGATCATCTGACCTAATGTCCTGTCCTCAGCAGCAGCCAATACCTACAAAAAACATTAAATAAGCATACACCTGACAGATCAGTGCTTACCCCTGAGTTTTCTGGTGCCAATCTTCAGCAATGAGATTGGATGTATGTATCACAACTCGAAGACCTTCTTCATATAACAACAACATCATTTTCCTTTTAAAAAAAAAATGCATACAGAAATCTGTCTATTTTAAGTACACAGAGTAGGAGAAATTACAATTCATTAAAATGCTCCAAGATATTTTCAAAACATAGTGCAAACACTCCAACTTCAATCCATGTGCATGCCAAGCTCATATGGCAGGCAGACTATCCAGAGTACAGCTTAATATCTCATGCAACTGATTTCCCATAGCAAAAAATGAATACTTGCAGAACACTTTCTGTATTTGCCATGTTCTTCAGATAAACTTATTCCTTTGCAGAAAGTTAAAAAAATAAAAAAAAAAAAAAGGAAGGAAGACTAAAAGGCCCTTACTTACAGTTGATTTTATTAAAACCTAATTCTTTTCTCAAATTCCCAACTACTTCTTTAAAGGAATGTATGTACATAACTAACCACTGGGATGGCAAAAAAAGCTATTTATCTACCATAAATCTAAACTCAGAAATTTCTATGAAACCCAGTTTTATGGCTTTAAAATAACTTGCAGATAAAAGGAATAGATACAGAAAACATGAAGGATACTATTTTCAAGTTTTGTGAATATAGGCCTTCAGAATTACGTTTTTATGAACAGTAATGAAGTATTAAGGTAGATTAAGACACTAGTTATTAGTCTAGTCAAATAATTGCATGTACCAACTCTGTGGTCATCTTTAGAAGTGGAGATTTCTGCATCATGGCTGTTACTTACGTATGGTGAGTTCCAAATGCAATATCCAGTTTAGCCTATAAAAATAAAAAAGTTGATCATTGTAAATTCCTACTGTGCATTCCTATATGCAAGAATGTTAAGGCAAGAGAGGTGCTGCTTCATTTTGTTTCATTTCACTGCTCTCTAGTGGACAGATCACAAAATAAATTTTTTTTCCCCTTAACACCTTTAAATATACTCTAATCTCTAGAAGTTAAGTCTTTAAATGGCAATGCAACTCTATTGGAACTGCTCCAGCAGAATTTCTGGTCTCTTACAAGCAGTATTTTCGCAAACAGCCAGCTTTGCTGAAGTTCCTGCTAGACACTAAGTGGAACAGCAGTGTGCCCTTGCAGCAAAGATGACTATGTGTCCTGGGCTGCATTAGGAGTGTTACCAGCAGTTCAGGGGAGGTGATCCTCTCTATTCAGCATTGGTAAGGCCACACATGCAGTGTTGGGTCCATCTCTGGACTCCCCACTAAAGCAGAGACATGGCCACACTGCAGAATGTGTAAATACCTGAAGGGCATGAATACTTGAAGGGAAGGTACAAAGAACAGGGTGCCAGGTTCTTTTCAGTGGTACCCAGTGACAGGACCAGAGGCAATGGGCTCAAACACAGCAGATTACCCCTGAACACCAGGGAACACTTCTACTGTGAGGGTGACTGACCACTAGTGTGAGTTGCCAAGAGAGGTTATTGAGTCTCAATCATTATGGATATTCAAAGCCTATCTGGACACTGTCCTGGACAACTGGATCTAAGTGACCCTGCTTAAGCAGGAGATTTAGATCAGTTGATCTCCAAGGTCCCTTCCAACTCCATCTATTCCGTAATTCTGAAGCACAGATGACTGTTATGAGCAGCTTAATGGCTAACATTACAGAAAAAAGAAAAAAAAAAAAAAAAAAAAAAAGAAGTAGCCACACAATTCCTTTTTTTTTTTTTTTAAATCAGCACTTTGCTCCTATTAAAGGGTATTTGCAGCACAACTTCTAGCGAAAGAATGAAACAATAGGTGTTAAGAACATACTTCTAGCCAGCGGATGGCTCCAACACTGTTCCTAGTTGGTATGAAGATTAAAATACTTACATTTCATTTTGGGCTACCTATATAATGGAATGCATGTAGACTACCAGAAGAATCTGAAGCAGTATACTCAAATAGGAAAACCACCAAACACCATTTTCCCCTGCTACCTGCTACTAAAAACACTGTCAAGTTTTTCATGTGGGACATACTACATTCAAATTATTGTTGTGTGAAAAGGAAACTTTACATGCAAAAACAGCTTACCTAAAATCATTGCTACACCACAACTTAGTGCAAACACTTGTTTAGTATAGCACGCAGCAGCCCAGAAATCCTGGCCCTGAAAACTCACTATGTTTGGCATCAATACAGTGATCTCTAGGAAGCTCACTGTTATGAGACTGCCCGAGAAGGAAGAAAATCCCAAGATCATTCTCCTTATAACAAAGAATAAGCTATCTCCATGATCGGTAATATACTCCACCCAGCAAAATCCTGAAACACTGGCAAGAAGCCATAACCACATCCCTCCCCAAGGCCGAAGCCAGTAACTTCATGACTCGGGGACAGTGAAAGTGTGAGCATAACATCAGAGAAAGTGCTATGTGCCAGGAAGAGTGCTTATAGCAATTTTAACAGTATTATGGGAACTACTTGTAACAGCATTTTTTTTGTAAAAGGCATTTGGACAACAATGATTCTTTGATAAGACTTAAGATTACAGCAACACTAGGACTGAGTTCCACACTTCATACAAAAAGTGCTTCCTTTTCAGAGATTTGTACAAGAGTTTGAGTGTAACATGTTAGTGAAGAATGTTTGCAGCTCTTCCGTGAGCTCCAAGACATTTTTGTAGGCAGCTGTTCTGTGTAAACCTTTTGCAGGTGTCAGTCTACCACAATCACATAAGACCAGGCACATAGTTACTGTGTTCCTATGGTCCTAGTAAGTATACTCCTTAAAGCATAATAATAATTTCTTGACTTTCCACGTAAGGTGTGTGTCTCTTCATCCATTGTATTTTAAGTGTAACAGAAGGCTTAATTTCAACGAAAGGATGATACAATTGTTAATTACCTGACAAAAGCTAATGTTCTCATATGGCCGTGCTTGTGCAAGCAATTCAGCTTTAGATTCTCTCTTTTCACCATGAACTATCAACAATGGCTTCTTCCTTAAATAAAAGGAAATTACTGTTAACACGTCAATTAGTAATCAGCCTAAACCACTCCATGTAGCTATGACCTTCTGGCCTCTAAATCTGATAGCCCAGCAGGAAGGAAAAGAAGAAAAAAAAAATATAAAAAGAGTGCTTTATTAACTCAAAAAGTAGTAATTACAACAGAACCTCTAAGAGAAAGACACCAGAAAACTTGGGGGGGGGGGGGGGGGGGGAAGAAAGAAAGTAGAAAGCATGGAGTAAATCAGCCACCGAAATAGAAACTAACAATACAAGATCTTGTAAGGAACTCTTGTCTGTGTAACTGGAAATAGACAAGTAAAACTCTTGAAAATGTTGATATACACAATGTGTAACTAGAACAATTTGATCATTGTTACCTTATAGAGACAGTGGGAAGAATGAGAGGGAAAAGGAGGGGGCTAGGTCTATCCTGGCAGCACTTCAATGTTCACTTCTTAATACTCCAGTTCTACCACATTTCTAGTAAAATGCAAGTAAAGGAGAGAAAAGTGCATGTCATACACTCACTTAATCTGCATCAGGTTCCAACTGTCAGAAAGGAATTTCAAGCAAACATAAAAATTGCTCTCATGACAATATTCAGCAACTCCAACCATACCTATCCATGACATCATCCTGAGCACTTCTGCATAGCTTTCTTGTGCCCCTTTCTACATTCTCTCCCTTCTCTTGCATTACCTTGCTCTCGGCTCAGTACAGTGTATAGCAAAAAGCCTCTTGTTCTGTCTTTAGAGCTCATCTACAGCATTGCCATTGTGGCCCACAACAGGGCCTCCTAAGTGTTAATTAATAAAAAATCAGAAGCCAGCCATAGTGAAACTCTCACCATTTAAGAGTCTTGAAAAAAGGCAAGAAATCTGTTAACAGAGAACGACAACTGTGGAATAAGCATACAAGGAAAACCAGGAGTCTACACATACACAATTTGCAACTGCAAACAAGTATTTATCATTCACTTATGATGAACAGACTACATGAACAGAAGGATTTGGAAACTATCATTTCATCTTTGTAAAATAAATGTACCTGAATTCCTGCGGATACTGTCTAACAAGCCAGGCCACATCTATGCAGTAGTTAAACTTGAAAAAGAAAACAGATTCATTAGGAAAAAAAAAAAGCATAGTTTGTCAGAACAATTAACTACAACAAAAAACCTTCCTAAAGTCACAAAGTGAACACCACTTACGTCACACACAGGATGTTCTAAAACCATCATAATTTCCCATGCTTTCTTCCATGTCTCAATTTGAGAATGAATTCAAGTTAACGCATGTATTAGTGTTCATAAAATTTAGCATGCAGAGAAAAAAAAGAAACACATACACCTAAGGCAAAAGCTTTGGTTCAAGAACCATCTCTTTGCCATCTGCTTATTCCATAAATGATAGCAAAACCTGTTATACAATAACAAAAACATTTGTAGATTTCAAGGCTTTAAAAAAGAAAAAATCTTTTACTTGCACATAAATACACATTTCCAGTTGCACATTCCCCAAAATCAGGAGAGAAAGCACTGTTATAGTTGCCTGAATTCTATGCAGAACATGGGATGATTTTTATATTTCAGTAAGTTGTTGTACAGTTCAAAACACAGGATTTCCTCTCTATTTTAAATGAGGTTCCTTGCTAATAGTTACAAGGCACAAACATGGATTATCAAGCTTATTGTCAATAAACTGAAATAAGCAACTGAAATCAATCTGGCAGTCACGAAACTCACCTGGGCAGAAGAAACCAGAGTTCCAAAAAGAGGAGACAAGATATCTATTAAAAACATTAAAATACAATTGAGTAAAATAGGTTCAAGTAAACATTTCACACCTTGAACAGTTTTGATAACTACCACAAATGCCGGATTGTTCACAGACTAGGTAAAGTCTTAACAGAGACATTCACAACTAAGTTTACTGTTCTGAATATTCAACTCCCTTTCTCCTGTGAAAACCCTTATGGTCTTCTGTTCATAAAAAGTATTAATCCTCTCAAAGTAGAAAACAAACTTTAAAAACTCATTACGAGAAAGACCAAGACCACACAGAGCCCCTACAGGGAGGGCTTGAAGAACTGTGTAAGAGCATAGTTAATGCTTATAGACTTCCTTATTGCAGACTGATTGTAGGACGTGTTACCTTAGCTCATTCATGGTAACACAAAACTAATCTGACTGAGGATTTATAACCTCAGTAACTGAAGCACAGCAGCAACCTGAAAACATAACCTACAAATACCTTAAGGGATAGACAAAATATTTCATGCCCCATCTCTACAGAAATCTGGTTTTGCAGGTTAAACAAAAACCTCACCCCTCCATAAGCTCAACTAATCACCTATCAGGACAACTACTGCTAAAAAAGAACAGGCCAAAAGCCACAACAAATTCACAAAGCAGATAAAGGCATACAGCAGTAAAGCAACTGAGATCTCTGACACCAGGATGTAATCAATAATCAATGGTCATAGGGAGCACATGAGCTTAAGGAAAAGTTACAATTCAATTGTATAGGTCTTCAGTCATTCATTGTCCTTCAAAAGACTAGAAAGTTTTTCTGCCTCATTTCACTGTATTTCTGTGCATAAATCTCTTATTAATGCTTGTTTTCAATGCTGTCTTGGGATGTATGACATTTCATTTCTGAATGAGATGTTTACAGGTGGACAGAGCTGTTGCCCCTTACATCAAACTACAACCGCACAGCATTCGTGAAGCATCAGTATTGTACACCAAAGACTTCAATCCATCATGACTAACACTCACTTCTAATTGAATTGAAATGGGCCCATGAATCCCAGTGGCAGGACTTCTGAAGTACTACCCTGTATGGCATCAAGTAATAGTGTATTACTAGGTCCAAACCATTAAGCAGCATGAAAGCAAGTGTGAACAACACCTCAGGGACAATAGTTAGGCATCCAAGAAAAACACCCCTTTTAGAGCCACGAAGGCAAGCAGTTTTTCCCAGAGTGCCTCAGAAGGAAAGCAGCAATAAGCAGCACCATATGATTAGCCTTGGGTGAATGCATATTAGATTTGTGCAGTGTAACTCAGAAGTTACAACAGAACCAGCATCAGCAAATGAATGCTTTATACACTACTTCTAAAAGAAAGGCAAGGATAACAGAACCAATTCCTACAACTTGCACATTTAGGATATGAAGCCTCAGCTACAAGACGGAATATATGCATTTAAAAATACTCACAAAGTAAAAATAAGCATTTGCTTGCAAACAAATCTCCCCAAAGCCCACTTTTGTAGAATCCACTTATTCACCTTTTATGTGCAGGGCTCCAGAATTATAGCTCTGTTGAATTCCTCTGACTTTAGTGAGAAAAAACCTGAAAGGGTTCCCTCCATTCAACAAATCCCAGGTATCCTGGGCTTCACTGGGTACTTCATAATAATCCTCTGCTTTCTCCTTCTCTGAGAGTTCATCATCTTTGCAAAGATTCAGAGGATGGTCTTTGGGTGCATCAGATTCTTCTTCTTTCAGTGTTTCTTTGTGGGCATGCTTTTCCTGATCTTCAGGCTCTTCATCACTACTAGAAAGGCACCAGCCTGAGCCTTCTTGGCTAGTTCTCTGTTTTCCTGCTGGAGGTGCTTCTGCAGAAAAGCTTTTATCACTGAACTTCAGGGGGGAAGCTTTCCTCTTGTGAGCAGCTTTCCTTGCTTCAGAACATGGATATTGCGGCCCACTTGTCCTGTCACGTGCAGCATCCGATACTGAAGATGTAGATGGTTTTTCACTGTCAGAATTTTCCTCAGTACTTTCATCACTGCTAGATACTGTCCATTTTCCATGTGCACCTTCCTGAAGCATGTTCCTAGGGATTAAAAAAAAACAAAAATAGCAAAAATCGTGCATTTTTGCTATGCTCAGGCCTGTTTCACTTATTACTGAGAAATTGTGCATTTTGTATATGGCAGAATCTCCATGCAACTTCTAGCTCGGGAAACTCGTAGTGTACAAGGCTTAGTTGTTTCTGTGCACAGGAAACAAAGAAACACGTGCAGTGGGAGCAACCATCAAGTAGGAAGCAGCTACTGTGGAAACTCGCACATGAAAAACGGGCAAGACACGGCACGTACAGGAAAGCATTTCAAAAGTCGAAAGAGTAACGTGCATGATGCAGACACTTCCCACACCGACCCAGCGCTTGGGGAGTTCCGGCGCGCTCTGCTGAGGAGACACAAGAGACCGACTCAGAGCCGCTCTTTCCGGCTGCCCCTGCGGGACAAGGGTTTGCGCCCCC